ATTGACACACACACAAATCAAAAACGAAAAGAGAAAGGGAAGAAAGAAATTGCACAGTGATTAGGGGTGTTCATCAACCGATGCAAAGCGATTCAAACCACGACGACTGAACCAAAATATCAAAAATCAAAAATGAAAAATAAAAAACTGAAAAAAAAACTGCAAAATTTAATTAGATTGGAATGATTTTCGATTTGATTGGTGAAAATTGATCCAATCCAAATCGATCCAATAATTCTCCAACCTTACCCTCTACCTACTTGGGCCTTCTCCCAATCATGGCCCAAAAATCATATAGCAAAATTCTAAAATCCAGACCAATTAACCCAACATGTTAGAGAAAGTGGGTCATACTTGATCTATGTTATGTTTTTTTTGGGTAAGATACGTCATATATTTTTATTGTATGGGTTATTGTTGTACATCATCTCTTCTATAGGATGGAAATTTGGGTTACTCCATAACTCAGGCAACCACATTGTAAATTTTTTGTTGGAGGTAAAAAATGGTAATCAACTTTTTGTTGTACTATATTAAAATTAGATTATCGTTTGCTAATGCTTCTAGAATGTACAATATTCATCATACAAACTTTACTAAGCCGATACATACAAAAGATATGTTATTTGCAGAAAAATCATTATACAAATTTAGGCTTTTCAAAAAACCAAAAACTGATCCAATCCAAACCGAATAAAATTGATTGGATTGAATCGTATTTGAAAAAAAACTCAAACCATTGATGATGACATGGTCAAACCGAAGGGATTTGATCAGATAATTTTTGCTTCCAAAATCGATCTAATCCAGTCTGCGAACACCCTAACAGTGATTTACCCTAGTTTGCTCGATGTAGGCTACGTCCAGCTTGTCTATACTATATTTACCTCACTGCCACTCATTTCAAGTGACTCGGTTTACAAAGGAATATTAATAGGATTTAGGAAACCCTAACAATAGTTGTTTATGGGTCCAGACCCAAATTACGAAGTAAAAGAAAATTACAATAAATTAGAGGCTCATAACAGTACCAGGCCTCTACGGACTCAGGGCGACTCCCCCTAATCCTCACCCGCTCACCTGGAAGCTGGACCCAATTGACTTTCTGTTAATTCCACTAACAAGAACCCCTTGTCAGTATGCAAAATATGACTCATACCCAAGGTTTAAATATGTAACCGCATCAAACTTTCAAAATCCTTTAGCAGTAGCATATAATTGTCATAATATCTCACCTATATAAGCTAACGTAACATCCCTTGAGTTTTTATAATGAAAGCAAACAATGTAAAATCAAATTATTTTATTAAAAAGATAGTTGTTTTAGAAATTAAAATAACTTTTGTGACCCACACTTAGAAAAAGAAGAAGAAGAAATCAACACTTTTAAATAGAAAAGATATATGTTTCGAGTTATTACATGGGTGTGAATCGCTGATGAAAGTTTTTCGAGTTATTGATATCCACTGGACCCCAACGTCATTAAAATAAAAACCTTTGAGCAACCACCCACTTCGTTTGCTTCCGTTGTGGTCTAGCTTGCAGTTGCATTCTGGCCCAAATACGAAGCATCTTACTTTTCCTAAAAGTAATATGGATCATGGGACCATAATTATGGAAAATGTATAGATTTGATGATTATCGAGATGTACACAATAAAAGAAAAATCTATGTACCAAAAAAAAGAAAAAAGAAAAATCTGAAAAGGTGCATGAAGATTTTAACAATAGGATGCATAGAGATTATTTTAACAATAGGATGCATATTTAATTGCATAGTGCTAAACTATCTCACCTCAAAAGGGGCATGAATATCTAACTGATCATGGAATTTTCAGGCCCACTTTCCCATCTTCAATTGCAAGTTTGCAACCATAGTAGAACTAAAAGATGTCATGCTAGGATTAATTTTCTCTCTTTATTTTTTTTTTCAAAAAAGCTGAAATTCTTGAAATAAAATTTGACATGATTCGGTATTAATAAGAAATTGTAATGTCCCTACAAAGTTACCTATTATGTTTATGAGTGATTGAAATCCACGTGTTTCAATATCAATAGGACCATTAAATTGCACGTTTCAAGTTTATATCAGACTACTTTTTCGGTTATATGGTAATTGGTAAATGCCTTCATAAGACTTTCGTCTGTCTTCTTAAAAGACAACTAGATATGCTGTACATTATAACAAATAGAACTCCTATTTGACGCGGTGTTGGGCGAAAATGACTTCTTGAACCTCACTTCACTAGGTAGCATCTTCTCCCTGCCCCACTTATCTCATAGGTTTGTATCTTAATGGAATTGAGAACAGTTACCTTACACTCTTTTTTTTTTTTTTTTTTTTGATACAGTTACATTACACTCTAATGTCATGTTACTGCACCAACATATAATACTGCATCTTCCAAGCTTTTACCCTTGGCTTGCTTGGCCCGCAAGCTTTTCTCTGGCCTTTCTTAAGATCTTAGCAAAAGAAGGGCCATCTTGAGTTAGCAAGCGAGCTCTGCAGGTAACACTTTTAACCATGAATTATACAAAGGACATTATATATATATGCCGCAACTAGAATCCTTCTTTCCGTTTTTTTTTCCATTGAACCTGCAACTATTTTAATTTGTCATGTATCACAATCCAAAGTGCAGACAAAGAATACCTTATTTTCTGAGGGTACTAATTAAGCAACCCTGAGCAATGAGGTATTGGCCGTGGTTTTTCAAAATAGTGGCTGATTATTATTATTATTAATTTTTCCAAATGGTATTGCAAATTTGCACTAAAGTTTATCTAAAATGGAGTCATGCTTGCTTTTGTTGGGATTTTAAGTGTGAGTAATAAAATCTAGCGTTGGATAAGGATGAACTAAATATGGAGTATATAAGTAAAATATGGTCTAGAATTAATTTATTATGTGTTGTCACTTAGGTCTATTGAAGCTTGAAATTCTCCCTTATTTTGGACTTCCCTTGCCGGTGTAACATCTTTTTTTTTTTTGCCTAACATGTTAAAAGCATGCAGGGCTAACTTTTCAAAATTCATTCAATAATTGAATATGCATAGTGCAAGTTACCTTGCAATTTTCGCTTTGTTTAAATGGTTCCACATTGAATATGCAGATAGAAGTCTAGAAGGCCTCCATATCATGATGACAATTATGAATATAAACCATAAAGATGAAGAAGAGTGTCATATGATTCGTCCTGGTAAAGCATACAAATACAATCCTAGTGCTATTTGCATAATGGCTAGAGGGGACCATTTTTCCGATGCTCTCAAGTGCATTACCGTCTTCATTATGGCATCGTCGCTTTAATTAGTCCCCGTTTCACACCTTAATAACTTAGTTCGGCTGCAGCGTTTTTCTGATTGAGGAAAAGCAAAGAGGGAGAGCGAATAGAATTTTGTACAACCTATAAGTCTACAACTCAGGAATTTCCTGCTTGCTGCTGTCAAATCATATTCATATTTATATATTATTTAGCATTATATTTATCTTTAAATTTGCACACTTTCATTTTGCATCAGCATTTTTTTGGTTTTGAATATTAGTTTTCTACTTTTTACGTAAGGAAATAGAAGTATAATGTTGTAGGAGAGTATTTAGATTATGTTATAAAGATAGAAACTGTGAGATCCACACTTTTTTATTTTTTTTGGTTTTTGAAAACAAGTGTGGGTTCCACAATTTCTATCTCTATAACATAACCTAAACACTTTCCTATACTTCTTTTTCTCTTATATATAAGTATTCATTTGACGTTTCTATATTTATGATAATAAGTAAGAGACAATTATACAAAAACCAATATCATCTTGGAGAGGAACATAAAAACCAATATCATCTTGGAGAGGAACATAAAATTTTAATTTTTGACTCACTCCGTACTCAAGACTAGTCACAGGCTCCAAAACTTACAGGAATATTCAAAGAATCTACTCGTTTCAAAGAAATAATTATGATTCATGTAAAAAAAAAAAAAAAAGAGTGCATGTACTATTTTCTTGCTGACCCTTGCTAACATCTCTGATCTTAGTGCTTTTAGTTAGATAAAAGGCTTCTTTGTTGCATGAGTTGAATGATGATGTAGCAGCGGTTTCCTTTGGCAAGCAATTAAATGGAAATTGAGTAAACTAATCCGTAAGCAATAATCTATATTCCGTCCAAATCATCCGGGCCCTTTTGGTTTCTTTAAATTTTCTCACAGAAAGTCGTGGGTTCCATAAGAGGAGTCGTTCGGTAGCTGATGAGGTTGAGGGCATGTGTGTTTGCGGGTACTGGCAAAATAACAAGACGCAATTACTCAACGCCTGGCGTGGGCTCACAACTCACAAGGTGTGGCTATGATTGGATCATGAAGCAAGCCTCGTGGGCTTTGGCTTTTCATGTAACCTTTTTCTTTTTTAAATGTTTCTTGCCAAGCACTATAATAAGTGAAAAAGAAGTATTCTTTTGAATGACACAAGCTTATGTCATTTTAGGTGTTTTACACAAAGTACGACCGGTTGTATTTATTTTGTGTAAAACTGAAAAGTTGCTTTTTTTTCTCTCTTCCCAGTCATATCGCTAACGTGTAAAGTGAAAAAAAAAAAAGTAACTTTTCAGAATTACACAGAGTACGACCGGTCGTACTCTGTGTAAATCACTAAAAGAACACAACTTGTGTCCTTTTGAATGACATACACTGAACCCTTATAATAATTAACTTTTTTTTTAAAATGTGTTAAAGATCAGAAAGAAAGTTCTCCCGTGATCCCCCAATTCAAAGGGGGACCAAAAAGCAGTGCAATAAGAATTAATTGAAGAAACAAATAGTTAAAGAGAACACCTAGATAAAAGGCTAAAAGCATAACTGCATAAGCTGTCACTGCTTTTCCCTCCTTTCTTTTAAAAATCTAAAACAAAAACCGAAATACAATCCTATTCATACTCAACAAGCGCAAGATCTAAGGTGCAACAAGTATACACAAAAACCCAAAATAAATCAGAAGAGAAGAAGAAGCATGATGATGAAGGGAAGAGAAACCAAAACAGCACCCTCTGCAGATCTTTTAGTATGTTTCCCTTCTCGAGCTCATCATCTTACTCTAATGCCTAAGCCCATTTGCAGCCCAGCCCGGCCTTCAGAGCCCAACAAACGACACCGCCACCACCACCGTAAGAAATCAATCTCTAGAGGCAGTGGTGGTGGTGGTGGCGGCGGCCAAGCTAGCCCTCTGCTATGGACCAAGACCAAGTCAATGGGCTACGAGATTGCTGAACCAACCTCTCCAAAAGTAACTTGTGCTGGACAAATCAAGGTGAGGCCAAAGGCCACTTCTTGCAGGAGCTGGCAATCAGTGATGGAAGAGATAGAGAAAATCCATAATGACAAGAAACAGAGGAAGCGTCTCAACTGGGCAGAGTCTCTCGGTTTCAAGAAGGAGGTAATGCAGTTCTTGACTTGTTTACGAAGCATAAGGTTCGACCTGAGGTGCTTTGGATCCTTCTCTGGAACCGATATCACCACGGAAGAAGACGAAGAGGATGAGGATATTGATGAAGGTGAAGCGTACCAAGAAAATAATCATGTGGTGGGTATAGAAGAAAACGATAACGAAGCATCGAGAACTGTGTTTTCCAAATGGTTCATGGTGTTGCAAGAGGAGGATCAAAATAATGGGCTTCACAGAGAGGGCAAGGATAAGGTAAGAGATGATGGATCAATTGGCGAGCCCAGTGTCCCTCCTCCGAATGCATTATTGCTCATGCGTTGTAGGTCTGCTCCAGCAAAAAGTTTGTTCAGAGAGATCGAAGATGATAATCATGAAGAAAAGGAAAAAGAAGAGAAGAATGCACACAAAGAAGAAAAAGCTCAGGTACAGGTACAGGTACAGGTAAAGAAAGGGCAGAGTTTAAAGTCGTTAATGGAGGAAGAGAAGAGAAAGAATGAGAACTTGGTGATGATGCGATGCCACTCTGATTTTTATGGCATTTCTTCTGATATTGCCAAAGAGACATGGATTGTTGGCGGGCTAAGAGATCTCATGTCAAGGAGTCGAAGTTGGAAAAGATGATCATCATCAACTATTAGCATTACTGCTATTTTTCATATAAATCTATATATATATATTTTTTTTTTTCATGTCATAACTTTTTCTACTAGTATTACCAAGTTTGTGCTTCCCTGGAATAATTTGGTGTGACAACTGGGAAATGTAATATCTAAATCCCAGTTTTAGCTTCTCTTATGATTAGTTTCTTTAATCTGTACAGCATTCCGATTTCTTTTCGTAAGTACCCGGAAAAATATTTTGCTGCCATGTACGTCTATGATTTTGTTTACTCTGTTCTATAGATTCTTAATTATGAGTTATAGGAATATGTAACTTTTTCTTCTTCTTTTTTTGCGTCTAAATTGTAGAATTGACATTTGTTTTCAACACATTTGAGTCTATGGAATCGTGCTTAGAAGCTGCAAACTTGCTTCAAACTTAGCGTTAACGTGTTAGGCATTTTTGTAGTGGAATCGATGATGGTTTGATGCTAAACAGGGAAAATAGCATTTTATTGTTTGTGCGGTGAAAAAATTCAATTACATGCGTATTAATAAAAATATCCTTATAATTTAATATTATAATTTTATTTTAAAAACATTACATATCTTTATTAATAATTACGTACCTAAAAGTAATTTTTATTAACATATTTAAATAAAATATTTGTCTATCAAAATCACATTTTAGAAAATAAAAAATTAAACATAAATCACTACTTATAATTTTTTTTAACAAAAAAGACAAACTTATTTCAAATAAAAAATTTCAAAAAATAATAATCAACAAAGTCCGACACAGTTAATAGATGGCTGAGTCCCTTAAGTATGCTGACAAGAATTCGATCTATGACTGTGTGTATGAAAAATACTTTGTTGATAGAGGCGAAATCCATTTCGATGATCTCTACGCCTCAAAAGGATTAATCTTCAACTATCGGCCGGAGAATACTTGGAGGAAACTCAAAAATTTCAAAAATAATAGCTTGGCAAATCAGTGCAAGTGGAACAAATGGACAGGGACGAATCCAATTATTGACTATTGAAGGGTTCAAAATTATATAAAATATTTAAATGAAGAATTCTTAGTTTAAATATTAAATGTATTCAATATTTATTGAAGTGGGCATAATGCATGTTATTTCATGTCATAAAATTTAAGTTTTTTAACAAAAAAAAAAAATGAATTTTGTGGCACAGTTGTTAAATCCCCCGCAAGTACTCTTTTGCTTGGATTGTTTAATATATATGCTATGTACTCATCAAAGTTGAGAGTAAAGTTTTTTTTCCATTTCATTATGTGCATCTATTGAAGCTTCCTTTTAAAATTTTCTCTTTTTACACATGTCTACAACTTTTAGAATGAAAACTGTGTTTTGAACTAATACATTACCTCATAAAATATAAACTTATCAACTCAATTAATATTTTGATTTTTAATATTATATGAGCCAACAAAATATAAATAGTAATGGTAGAGGCTATTTTTTATTTTACATGAACGTTATAGTACCTATAATAGAAAATTGAACCATGGTTGAGTGACCTACTCTGCATACTTTAGTCTATTTAAATTAGGTTACTGTGATTATAAATTATTAACATATTATTAATTATAATAACTGAGATGAATTTATTAGCTGTTAAATTACCTTGAGTTGTACTATGAATCAAGTGCCACAGTTGAAGCTTATCTACTTTCTCGGATGTCTGCGGTTCATTAACAAACAAGACTGCAAAAGTGGAAGTCTGTATCAGCTACTGGATAATGAGTTAGTTCCATTTCCGATAGACAGGCCTGAGGCTTCACAGTTTATTTCTTTTACTACTCCATAACATTGAACGTATAGCATTAAAAATATAATCAAAGTAAAGGACAACATGATTATATTGGATGGTAGACGTTTAGCAGGGTAACGCAACTAGCAAGCACTTAAAAGTTTTTCATTGCAGAAATTTACGTATGTTCAATGTTGCTGCTGAAGTGTCTATCCAAAAATAAAATAAAAAAATTAGATTAGTGATTCAGGTGTGGAGTGGTGTCGTGATCCAGCCCACCAGAGCACATCCCACACGTATGCGGACCAGCCCAAGATACTTGGATGAATATCTCACATGAGCCAAGCCTATAGTGCAGTCTGTTTTGCTTTAAATAAAATACGCAGCTTAACTGCATTTAGAAGATTAATTGTTTCAATTCCTATTTTTAAGCATTTGTTATTTCCTTCGTAATTTAGGATTTGTTATTTTTCCTTCATAATTTAGGATTGGTTGTTACAACAACCTTACTCATTTAAATTCTAAATTAGGCTTTGCATTTTCTTTAAATATGGTAATTCAAACCTCAAAAGGGATCAGAGTTGTTTGACAATAATCTCATCTCTCTCTCTTCCTATTCGTTCTCCCTTCTATTCTTTCCTCTTCCCTCTACAAGTGGCCCCAGTTTCGAATCTTGTTTTCACACTTTGACTTCTCCCAAATGCGGCACACATGTGCTGAGATCACCAAATATTCACTCCTGAAGTGGCATCCAAACTTATCAGAAAAAAAAAAAAAAAAAAACTGGCTCTCAATGACACGAGGCAAGCTTTTAAAGGGCGTTTGACAAAGGAGAAAAAAATTTTATCCGAGAATCACTGACTTCCAGAAATATGCTGGAAAAATGAATTTGATAGGAATGTTATTAAAAAACTGTTTGGTAGACCAAAATATTTCTGAAAATGTTGGACCAATTTGATTGTAAAATATTGCTGAGAATATATAATAATTTTATAATAATAATCTTATCCATCAAAACCCAAAAACCTACAATTTGCGTATCTTACTCCCTGTAATCGATCTAAACTTTTGTATTTCTTAATTTCTCTCAAGAATCATTCTTGTGTGTATTCAGAAAAGACACCCTCATGGCCTCCAATCAATCCTTTCCTGTTTCAGCATCTCACCCCCACCAAACCCTTTTCTTATACAACACGGAGGAGAACCTTTTTTTAACTCAGATCCAAACGCTGATCTATTAAACAACCCCCCCCCCCCCAAAAATAAAAAGTAGATCTGGTAATTGAAATCCAAAAACTACACAAAATGAAAACGGAAAGAAGAATTCCAAAGTCGAAATCATGTTGCGGAAGAGAGAAAGACAAAACATAAACACAATTAGATTTAGAACAGTACATGAAATGGAACATTCATTCATCAATTTGTGTTATTGAAATTCTTCTTCCCAGATAGAAGACGAAGACGAGGACAAGGAACATATTTGAGGCCTCGAAAGAGGTAAGAGATAAAATGAGTAGAGACGACGAAAAATTTCAAGCAAGGGTAAAAAAAGATCAAAAAAATATGTCAAATTTCTCCAAAGATACCAAATTCTGGAAATACCACATAATTTGTGGTTTTTGTTGATGGTATTCGGCTCCATTATTTGCACTACAATCAAAACGCTGGAGAAATTGAAATCAAGGATAAATTTTTGGATTTCCTCTACCAAACATAGATATATTACAATCCCAACCAAGCTTTTCAGGATTCTACAAAAATCTCTCATACCAAACAGGCCCTTAGAGCGTTAACTATTGGACTTTTGAGTAACCTTCCCATTAGGCCCTTGAACATATGCGCAATTTGCCGGAATAACGATCACACTGCCACTTTTTTTGTAATTTTTTTATCAATCTGCCATGCAAATAATATTTTTTATTAGATTTTCATGCGGTAAAGTTCATTATAACTAGTATTGAACTTAATAGCCAATAATTTTGTGAAACACTTTCGCAGAAAAAGCTAATTGGACTAATTTTAGTACCAGGCGATCTTGGTGTGCTATGTAGCACAATCTCATTACCCGATCAAGATTAATGTACCTATCACAATCAGAAAAAGAAAACAAAGAAAAATGGCTATTTAATTAATGTACCAATCACCAATCACAATAAGTGTACCAATGAAATTAACTTTTGATTGTATCAATCACAATTAATGTACCAATCACCATTCACTTCGGAAGGCCTTTTGATTCAGATATCCAAATTAGATGATTTTTTATTTTATTTCATATTTTTTCGAGATCTACGTAATGACACATCATTTGGCATATTTTATTACTCACAAACATCGATCGAATTTGTAACAATAGTATCACAAACAATTAAAATATCAATCACCAATCACAATTAATGTACCAATCAAAATTAATTGTGATTGGTGATTGATATATTAATTGTGATCAAAATTGATTGTGATTGGTACATTAATTGTGATTGATATATTAATTAAATAGTCATTTTCCTTCGTTTTCTTTTTGGATTGTGATTGATACATTAATTCTGATCAGGCAACGAGATTGTGCCACATAGCGCACCAAGTTCGCTATCCCTAGTAGCGAACTTGGTCCAGTCAGCTGTGTCACGTGTCACGAAATCATTGACTATCAAGTTCTCTACCAATCGTAGCAAATTTGGACACTTGGCAGTCAACTTTTTTTACGAAAGTGTGCCACGTGTCAAGAAATCATTAGCTACCAAGTTCACTACAAGTCGTAACTAACTTCAACGCATGGCAGTCTAATAAATTTTACCTCTCGCGTGACAATTTGGTATATAAATGCCAAAAACATGGCACATTGATCATTGTTCCCAATTTGGCACGTAATTTTGTTTGTTCGATGAAATTGTTAACACCCGTTTGAATGAAATTGTAAAAAATGGAATTTTTTTATGTCTTATTTACCTTGGAAGTATTTTTTACAAAAATTAAAGTTATTTAATTTTTTTAAAAAATATTTAATTTTATTTTTATTTTATTTTTGACTTTTTCTTAGAAGCTAAAATTTTCAATTTTAAAAAAATAGAATTTTGACATTTTCGTAACTTCTGTCTTTTTTTAAATTAGACATTCAAATAAACTTTGTAGTAAAAAGTGCTTTGTTTTGAAAAAAAAATTAGATAAAATAAATTCATCCAAACTCCAAAGGAGCCCAATAGTCTTGTCTTCTTCTTCTTTTTGTTCTCTCTCTCTCAATTT